CAGGTAACTATAGTAACTAATTACAGTACACATGCATATATATATTCATTCTCAATTTAATTATTACTAACTGTACAACATCATAAGTTAGTTTAGTTTTCATTTTATAGTTTAGTTTCATTTAATTTAATATGTTTACCACTCGGAGAAGAGAAAAGCTTTGTAATTTATAATATTAATTTAGGCACTCTTGGTCCAGAACCAGTACCAACGCAAATCCTCCCATATCAAGGCTCACTAGTGAGTATAATGTTTGCAATTCTAACCCACAAATGTCATAGTAAACTGTACAGTACCATACCATGCCATATCACTTTAGTCATGCATAAAAAATATGTATGCATAATGTGTTTAAATTTGGAATATGTTTCAATTTTAGTATTCTCTAGATGTTGGTTCCTCGAATGTTCGGCAAACACATAAAGAGGTTAGATACAATGGTTTAATTTGGATGCATAGCATCATACAAGTCTTAACAACTTGTGTTTTGATGTGTTTTATTACTAGATTTCACTATCAAATGGATTGGGTTGGTCAACTGACAACAAAATAATGTATCATATAGACACCTATGAAAGGTACAGTGAATTTAGCCCCCCCCCCCCTCATCATGTGTATCAAATTAGTAAGGAATGGGGATTTCATTAGGAATACAGGTCCACATTTCATTTGGCTCACTGGCTGTTGTTCTTCTTTCAGGAAAGTATTTGCATATGATTTTGATCTTGTCTCTGGTTCAGTTACAAACAAAAGAGTTGCTATTGATGTTGCCCCAGAACTCGGAGTAAGTTCTTTTAATAACTCATTTCACCATGATGGCCAACCCGGAGTTACCACAGTGAAGAAAACGATGTAAATTCGTTTCATTATTTTGATTTTACATTATTATTATTATTATTACAAAAATCTTTACAGAGGGTAAAACGTTTCAGTGCACAAGACACTGTTATCAATATGTGCCCTCTCTACTTCTAAATTAAAATACAAGCAATAAAATAGATATAAAATAAGTTAGTTCAAAATCTATTATTCAGTCTACCTATTACAAAAGTCTTTCAAAAACTTAAAAATTAGGCTAAGTCAATTAAGACTACAGTTCACATGTACCTATTTATAATAGTCTTTCAATAGCTTAAGAAATTGGTCATAATCTCCTTCTCGTCTTATTTCGATTGGCAAATCATTATAGATTTTTTTTTCATGTATGTGGTAGTCTTGCATTTGGAGGCAAATAAATAAAATTGAGAGAAGTAGTTGTCATTCCACGACGGCATGCCTTGGCCATTTTAAGTGTTTTGGAGGTTGTACAACTCCCAGACCTCCGCAAGGTTACGCCAATTACCTGGTCGAAAAATTGAAAGAATTCTTTTTCATTGTAACATTTCGGTACGTATTTATACAGTGGCCAGATGGACTTTGTGTTGACATTGAGGATAAAGTATGGGTAGCGATGTACGACGGGGGACAGGCAAGTATCACGCTCTTAATTTATTCACCTTCTCTCAATCACAGAGTAGAGACATATAAAGCCGGTTTTCCACTTCAAGCATACCGTACCGAAACGTATCAAAAACATTTTTCAATTTCAAAATGTCGTGAATGTTGATTGGTTAGTACTTCCGTAGTAGGCCAAAAAGTTGACATGTGACGAACTTTTTATTTTGATACGCGAATACACCCGGAAGTACGTGGATTTATAAACGTCTTTTCAATCTGCGCATGCTCACCAGTACGTTTCGGTACGATACGGGCGAAGTGGAAAACCGGTACATCTTCTAAGTTCTAATAAATAATATCTCACAGCTTAGCTAAGGTGACAAACTCAATTTAGACCAAGTTGTCCGCGTGAGTTTCGTCTATGACTGTGGGCTTAAACGTAATTTAATGTTCCTTCTCAACAGGTTGTCCGTTTTGATCCTTCGAACGGCGCTGTCCTCAGATCTGTCAAACTTCCAGTTTCCAAAGTGACGTCATGCTGCTGGGGAGGAAAGAATTTTGACGAACTCTACGTCACTTCCGCCAGGTACGTTGAGTGAAAGAGTGGAGAAAGATTTTTAAGAGTTCTGCCATTTGAAAAGGGAGTTTGCTATTTGAAAAGGGAGTTTTGCTATTTGAAAAGGGAGTTTTGCTATTTGAAAAGGGAATTTTGCTATTTGAAAAGGGAGTTCGGCCATTTGAAAAGGGAGTTTTGCCATTTGAAAAGGGAATTTTGCTATTTGAAATGGGAGTTTTGCTATTTGAAAAGGGAGTTTTGCTATTTAAAAAGGGAGTTCTGCCATTTGAAAAGGGAGTTCTGCTATTTCAAATGGGAGTTTTGCTATTTGAAAAGTGAGTTCGGCCATTTGAAAAGGGAGTTCTGCTATTTAAAAAGGGAGTTTTGCTATTTGAAAAGGGAGTTCTGCCATTTGAAAAGGGAGTTTTGCTATTTGAAAAGGGAGTTTTGCTATTTGAAAAGGGAGTTTTGTCATTTGAAAAGGGAGTTTTGCTATTTGAAAAGGGAGTTCTGCTATTTGAAAAGGGAGTTTTGCTATTTGAAAAGGGAGTTCTGCAATTTGAAAAGGGTGTTTTGCTATTTGAAAAGGGAGTTCCGCCATTTGAAAGGGAAGTTCTTGCGTTTCACATTGTTTCTATATTTCTTCAGAGAGTTTTTAAGCGAGGAAAAGGTCAAGAACGAGCCGTTGGCTGGGTCTGTTTTTAAAGTTACAAACTTGAACTGCAAAGGAATGCGTGCCAACGAATTTGATGGATAAACAGGGTGATTTATGGACATGACGAAGTGATAGTCGCGCGTGGATAATTTGTGTGTTTTATGGATATGACGAAGTGATAATCATGGATAAATTGCATGATTCGTGAATATGACGAAATGGTAATTATGCATGGTCAAATTAAATGATTCATGGGATAATGAGGCGAATGAACTGGAATATTCATGGTTATGATAAAAGGATAATTATGGATGAATTGGATAATTCATGGATACAAAAGCATAATCATGGTTAAATTGAATGATCTATGTGTGGGCCGGTGTGATAAAAATGGTATTGCTTGGGTAAGTTGATCTAGTAGTTTACGTATAGAAGTTTATTATTCGAAGTTTATTATTCGAAGCGCATTTTTAAAATCTCGTGGGATTTTGCTACTGCATTCAATCATCTTTATAGGATACTTTTATGACAATAACGAAATAAATAAAGAATAACATTATAAATATAAAATATAGATATTTAGATTTTATGGATATTTGTAGTTTTAAATTACAATATATAGGAAAATATTGACATCTCAATTCTGAAAACTCCGTGCGTTCATTTCTACATTTTTGAATCAGAATTTTATTTGATAAAGCTGCTGAAATTTATATAAAGGAATATAAGTCCACAATATTTTTGCTATAATTTATAAATTGTACAATTAATAAAATAATTGTACGCGTCTTGATCAATCGATTGCAATAACGTTGTCATGCTTGTAATAATATATGAAAACTGTTGCTAAGGCAACATTTGGTCAACAAGTACTTTTTATTGCTATTGGAAAGGTCGCTATAAGCATGCGCTGCGATATACTCTATGCCTTTTGCATATAACATCATTGTACAAGCCATATAAATAATCAAAAATACTTACTTTAAATAATCAAAAAAAATAAAACAAAATTAAAAAAAACCCTGGTTAAAAGCGGATGAGAGTTAATGTGCAGTCACGCATTGTTACAGGGGACATTTCAAGCTCTAGATTAACAAAATAAAGGTTTCATGAGTGTTCCAACTATGTTTTAACTTGAGTAGAATACATGATAGTGTTGGGAAAGCATTAAGAACAGCTAACCAAGCTCGCGTGACTGCCAAATCTAATGACATGTACTCTCTTCTCGTGTGGAAAACGATTTAATCTATAATAATTTGAGTTATTATAGATTTTATTCTTAACTTTTACAGTTCATTTAATTAATCAAACCATTTTATGAGTTAGCAAAAACGACATTGCATTTTAGATGAATAGCCTGTTCTTTTACTAAGGACCGAACAGCCAATCAAATTTCGTCGTTGTCACCTCATCAAATATTTCAAAATTAGAATGGACAGCTGGCCCATCATGTTTCATTTCTTGGCAGACAAAATGAGCGTAATAAAATATGTTGATACTAAATAAAAATATTAAATACAATTAAGCGCAGCGCTTAGGTGGACAGTATTTAATGTGGGGTATATTTCTAGCTTTTTCAAAATGCTGCATGTTCATCAATATTTTAAGTAATCGTACAGTACTAGCCTCCTCCACAGGCAACTCTTTGGCAAAAATTGGCAAAAGTATTATGAGTAACAGCGAATTTAAAGTTGGGGATTGTTAAGGGATCACTATTGACATTTTTGCCAATTTTTTATTCATAATACTTTTGCCAGTTTTGCCAAAGAGTTGCCTGCGGAGGAGGTTAATACAGTACGATAAAAGTAACGATTTTGATGAAGAGATAAACTTCTAAATGTGTAAAATATGTTGAAACGTTTTAAATTTCTCCTTACTTTTACTGGGTTGCATTTAAGAGATATGTTTTTGCAGTTGTTCGTAGTGTTGATGCAGTAGTAAAAACATAAAAGTGGGCACTTCACTCGGCGGCCTTTTGCAGCTAAGCAAATATGTTACCTAAAAACCTTATGCACGTTTTAACTTGTCAAACAAAACCATTATTTCTGCCAACTGATTAATGGCAATTTGGCGAACCTCGTTGCAATTTTCCATTTGCGGCTTATTTTTACTTTTGTTATAAACTATTGGGTCTTCGCTTCGGTAAATATCAATTAGTCATTTTGCATATAATAACCGTGCTTCATTAGCTTATTTTTAAATAAAGTCCGATTCAGCTGGAACTTTTCATACGTGTGTACACAATCGAACTACGAATATACGGGCAATATTTTCTTTTCAGTTGACAGTCTGTACACAGACTAACTCGGCGTCACAAGTACACGACTCGGCCGGAAAATACATATAAAAAATATGGCTTCTGTATCTTGGCAGGGTATATTTCTAACCATAATCATTATCGCTACTCTGTTTGGCAATATCTTATGCCTGTATATTCTCTTAAAGCCTCAACGTCGGCTGCTCAAGCGTCCACTCTACATATTTATTTTCAACATCTGCGTCGCAGATATTGCAGTCGTGGTGTGCTCAATGCTTGTCAAAACTGCGGACGAATTTCACCAGGACTGGTTTTATGGCAAAGCGATGTGCCAAATCATCGAGTATTCGCAGCGAGCTTTGTTTCGTGTGAACGTCCTCACCCATCTTTCCATTGCGTTTGAACGATACTTCAGCGTTGTGTTCGCGCTCAAGCCACAGGTACAGATGACAAAACCTATCGCTCGTCAAATAATTACCTGTATATGGGTCTTCTCGTTTATCATTTCAATCCCTCTTATATTCTCCTTCGATGTTCAGGAAAAGAGTGGCAACAGAATTTGTCAGCTAATCCATCTACCCTGGGGCTGGGTCGATAAGCTGTACTGCAGCATCGATCTTATCATTTTCTTTTTAATCCCGCTCGGAATCCTCTTGTTTCTATATGGAAGCATCATCACAACGCTAAACCGCCGAAAACGACAGACGGGTGACCTAGGCTCCATCAACGCAACAATGAATACTATTCGCGCTGCGATCCGCGGTGTTCGCGTCTCGATAATTGTCGTGGTGGCGTTCATTATCTGTTGGATTCCTGTAATCGTAAAGGGTTTCAATCGCTTGATCGTGCCAAATGTGAATTCGGATCGCACAGATCCCCTCTACGCAACTGCGATGTATTTAGCGTTCACGAATGATGCTATTGTACCGCTTCTATACTGTGTGCTTGACAGTAACCTAGCACCGTCTGTCAAGAAGATATTCGACTGTTTTCAAGACCCCCAGGACGAAGAAAGTTCTGAGGAAAACGGAACAATTCATGAATTATAGCGTTAGAACATCTCTACTCCCGCACTGTGACAATGATACAGTGGAATCCGGTTAATACCGTCAAGAACTGGCCATGAAAATCGTGTTAACTGTGTGTAGTTATACTAGCAGATGATTTGTCTTGGCGTCTTTAGAGGACAGAACAAGTGGAGGGGAGAATGTCTCTAAGACACTCAAAAGGAAGGGAGTTCGAAGATAGGTCAGTGGCACAATTCATGAATAGTGTTGTACCCATGACAACTTTAAGAAACCACGTTTTCAAGTTGCACAACGAACAAAATATCTGATAAACATGCTTGGTTAGTACTTGGGAATGTGGATTTCATCCGAAAGCGTCCTGGACGCAGAACAATGAAAAGACAATAGTTAAATAGAATTTATTGTCCGAGCGTTAAACGCTCAAACGAGGGCGGCAAAGTATAGATAGGCAGTAGATATATCGTCTTGATTAACTAAATAAAGTGCTTGCTTAATAAAGTGTTACACTGTACAGAGCAAGGCGAATCAAGGAACATATTTGTAATAACGTAATAATTGTAACATGTTGAAAGGAGAGTGGTAGAGAGTATTGACTCGGACTGGACAAAGAAACTCAAACAGGCTTAAAATTATTCATAAACAGTATCACAAAATTTGCACATTAATATCTTTGCTAGACAAAAGTCTTGCTAGCCAAAGTGGCACTTTGGACGTAAAAAAAGCAGTATAAATTAATATAGTATTATGTCAAGCTGTTCACGTTTGACAAAATGAAGCTCAACAATTACATCAGTTGCCATGCCAATCTCCAAAGTAGTGGCGATAGTCGTGTGTCATTTTCCTGAGTTTTATCTTGTTCCTGAGTTTTTCCTTGCTCCTCTCTTGGCCGTCTTCCCGAGTGTCCTGTCATTATTCACACTATCTTCATCTTTTATGCGGTCTCCTCTTTTTCTTTTTTTGCAATGTATGTTGCTCGTCTCTTGGCCATGCATCTTCCCAAGTTTCATGTCATCGTTCACATTATCTTCATCTTTTATGCAGTCTCCTCGTTTTCTTTTTTTTGCATTGCAATGTATATTGCTCTTCTGTCTCCTGACCATTTTCCCGAGTGTCCTGTCATTCACACTATCTTCATCTTTTATGCAGTCTCCTCTTTTTCTTTTTTTTGCAATGTATATTGCTCGTCTCTTGGCCATCTTCCCAAGTTTCATATCATCGTTCACAGTATCTTCCCATTTTTTGTGTGGCTGTCTCTTTTCCCTTTTTTGCTGTATATTGCTCTTGTCACATGAGCAACAAAATCATCCTCTACGCCTGATCTTCTCAAAGAATGATTTTCTATCACGAGAAGAGACCAATACGTAGATAGCAGGCCAGATTAACCTATAGCAACGGTTTTCAACTTGGGGGACATGTCCCGGCAAATTCCTAGGGGACACAAACTGGTCTAGGACTGAGAAAAAAAATTCCATTATTTCCTGGTATTCGAGTAGTTACAATAGTTTGTACTATAAACATGTTTGCTTGACTTTCTATCTATTATTTAAAATTTAAATCATTTACTATTTTACTAACTATTTCGAAATTCGTGTTTTTGATAGACTTCAGTGGGCAATTTCTGTTCAAGGGACGTGGTAATTCAATCATGTGAAATCGGGGACACATGAGAAAACCAGTTGAAAACCGTTGACCTATAGAAACATCACCATCACCAACACCAACACCCCTTAACTTAACACGCGGGCTGTAAACCTTGAAAATGTAAGGCTTTTCGGGTAATTGATGAGTCGTTGGGGGGAGGGAGCAAGGTATGCCTTACAATTCGTGGTTAAATAGCCTGCATGTTTAAATCATATTGTCAGTCTCGAGTCACATTATCGTTTCGCGTGTTGAAAACACGGTTATATATAGACAAGTCCTGATCTGAAGATCAGGACTTGTCTGATATATAACCGTTATATTCATTGCAAGCACTTGCATGCAATAACATGAAATTACACTTTATAGAAATGTTTGCATCACTTCTTAGCTGCTGTAAAATGTCATTACTAGCGAGAAATAATGATTTAATATAATCCATTAACTACAGAAGTACTCTTGATAGCTTTCACTAAGCGAACTAATTTAACTTAATGAAAATTTTACCGAAACAATATGTGATGAAGAAAAGATCGCTTCCAGTTAAACATATTTAGTTTGTGTAAATATTGTAATGAATTATAATTATATATTGTAATTTCTGCTGCAAGCTTCGCTGTATTTCGTATTTCTTTGTCGTTATTTGCTGGTGTTTTTGCGTCTGTTTTAGGGCTTTATTACCTGTTTTTAAAGAGATATATGATTAGATATATTATTATAGCTATATTTACCTCAAACTGTGCCAAAAATCGAGAGTAATTTCACGTTAAAAGTGCTCAATTAAATTTTTTAATTTCGTAATTTTTCGTTTATGCTAAACAAACATTGCTTGTGGTCATGTTGAAAGCGTTCATGGTACGTCCTGCAGTGTGCAAATTGATCTACGGCTGATATTTTAATAACGTAGCTACAACTATAATATATTGGCAGATACGAGAATTTTTAAAAACTATCGGCGCTGCCACGGCCGTCTAGACGGGGCGGGGGCGTAGGGGACAAAATACCCAGGCGAAAGCGCTGTACACGAGATAGTGACTTTTTTAACCGTTGTAAAGCTTGAATTGTGATAAAAGTGCGAATATGGCTCCCACAAATCAGTAATAAAAGGTATCTTTAATTTCATACTAATGTTTAATATGGTTATAGCAATCAACGGTCATTTTAAGAAAACTTGCAAAAGCGGTCACTTTTCCGTAGACAGCGCTATTCGGTTTTCATATACAACGCCGTATACATGCTGGGCCTGGCAGCCCATTGCATTTTCCTAATTCACCCTGATTGCCTTCCCTGGGGTGGTGTGTGTCCGTGGGGTGAGGTGGCGTGCGTGTGTGTGTGTGGGGGGGGGGGGAGTGCTAATCCTTATTTGAATCTGAGCCGACTTGTATTTGATCACGGAGCACAGGTACGATAGTAGGGTTAGGTTGAGGGTTTATTCCAACTCACCCTGTCGACATTCCCTGTGGGCGGAACTGGAGTACCCGGAGAAAACAGACGACTTTCGGTAGGGCGTTGACTCACTCTTTTCACGTACGTGTCAGGAGATCGCAGCGAGAATGCGGTACCCGCGATGTCAGAGGTGAACGACGCTTGTTCTGAAGACAGCGCCAGGGTGTTAGCTAGCCCATAATGCCATATACTGTCCGTTTGACGGACTCTTCCCAATTGAAGTAGCTAAGGGGCTTTCCCAACTGGATCTACTGGAAGATTTTCATTTTTTCTGATGAGAAAGTGCATTGCGTTTGATTTTATATTTATTTATTATATCAAAGTTTACTTTTTTCCATTAACTATTTTCTCAAAATGTATCGCGTTTCACTCGTATTGGGTGTGTATTCACTGAAATGCAATGTACAAAACAAAGTGTAATCGGTGTGCATCCGTGTTCATTCACCGGAAATGAAATATACAAAACGAAGTACCATCGGGTGCATTTTTCAGTGTTCATTCACCGGAAATGAAATGTACAAAACCAAGCTACCGTTGTTTGCATCTAAGGAGAAACATGTTGGAAAAAAACACTATTTATTCCTACACAAGGACTTTGATCGGTCAAAAAAACTTTCCCAATTTACGTTTAACGGACAAAACTTTTTTTCTGGCTAACACCCTGAGCGCCACCGAAGCCCCCATTGAACTGGGCGGAGCGTCCCCACTGATTCTTTCCACGTACGAATGCGATTCGAGAATAAAAGCCCAGAAAGACACTTTCTTGCTTTAACGACTATAGCAACGAAATCCCAGTTTAATTCCGCTATTTGCGATGGGAATTACATGTTAGTGATTTCATTAAAGAAAAGTCTACCAAATTCAAAATTTAATTCATTGCACTTAATAAGTGTAATATTGATTATCAGCGCTTGCTTTGTATTAATTATCTTTCCTAAATTATTATTCTAATCAATTCTCCAATATTATTCGTCCTTGCCGCGTGTTTGTAGTCGTGATACAGCAAAGCTCGTAGATTTACACATCAGGCGTTTGTTGCAAGGCTGAGGGCTTGACGGGAGGGTTGCGGGCGGGAGGCGGGTTAGGAACTTGGAGAATTTGAGCCTGCGATAAATTTAAATAGGGCAGCTGTATACATCGCTGTACCTTATTTGTGTGTTTAATTACCCGAAAAAGTCGCTCAAAGACTACATTAACCCTGATGCTCCCTACTTTATTATTTTACTCTGTCTAACGCCAGACAATTTTGCTTGTCAAGCCGAGAGCGCTGCCGCTCAATGAGTTAAGTTAAAACCTTGACCAATGGCCATTTTTATACTAGAGAAGAAGTATGCGTCTGGATGAACTAGGACAAGCATTTATTTTTCGTCTTTTAATACCGTCAAGACGCATTGTGCGTCTAGACGAACTAAGTTCGGTTCTCAGGAGACGCACAACCGGTGATAGTTCGTCTAGGCGCGTAACGCGTCTTGTGTCCGTCTTTATACTGACGACGCTAACAAATATGAGCTACAGAGTCGAGTTGTCGAGCTCTAACCACAAGTTGGTGAGATGCTTATCATAATCGACCAGGTAAAAGAGTTTATTAACTAAAAATATTGCACAGCGTAACTCCCAAACCTCTTAAACGCATACAGGCTTCTGAACATTAGGCAATCGTGAGAAATCATAGTCATAGAATATATTTTTAACTTTTACTTTTAGAGATTTCTAAGGGACAAGTCATTATTAATGCCGGGTAGGGGGCCGGAGGAAATTTTTATGAATAGCAAAAATTTTTCATGACCCCTTATTTTTCTAACAAAATCATTTTATCCCCCCCCCTTTTTGAGGCAACATATTTCATAGCCCCCCTTCCCCCCCGCAATTCTGAATTCAATGAATGTAAGTCAGTTTCGTAAGCATTTTTCCTGCCCTCATACTCAGTTTACTTGCAGCTGTAAAGAATATTGTAAATATTGAAAATGATAGCCAAGGTGGACAGGAGTGACTTTAGTTTCACAATAGACACAATAGACAATTCAGACTTTATACCTGAAAAGTTGTTGGCCCTCAAACAAAAAAACCACACATCAGGCCTAGTCTTTTACTAATTGATAAAAAAAACATTTGTGTCTGGTGGAAGCATTATATTGAAGAGATGGCAGAAGAGACTGTCAACAACATGCAGAAACAGAACATGCCAAAGAGCTCCGCTGTGTTAAAAAGCGTAAAACAGGACAACAACTGTCAATTGAATCTTGCATAATTGCAAATACAGTGCATGACCCTTCAGACAAATTCTATGGTGATGATGAGGATGACAATTTCCATATACAGTAGTTAGGACACAACTTTAGGTTCAATATATTGGGCATTACTGTTCAATGTATGTATGTATACTGTATATATCCATTACTCTTTTGATATTACATGTTACAAACTATTCCATAGATTTTATTTTTTGCCCCCCCCTTTATGTTCAAAATATTTTCTGCCCCCCCCCCACTTCAATGGTTAAAACTTTTTGTGGCCCCTCTAAATTTCCTCCGGCCCCCTACCCGGCATTAATAATGACTGGTCCTTGAAAAGGGAGTTCTGCTATTTCAAATGGGAGTTTTGCTATTTGAAAAGGGA